GGGGTGTTTAACCCCTTAATCGGTGTGAGACGGGGAGTGAGGGGTGAGGATAGGGAGGGGGAGACTGTTTAACCCCTTATCCGATGTGTGGAGGAGGGAAGAGACTGTGTAACCCCTTAGTCGATGTGAGAGGGGGAATGAGAGAGGGAGGAGAGTGTTTAACCCCTTAGTCTGTGTGAGAGGGGGTGTTTAACCCTTTATCCAGTGTGAGAGGGGGGGGGGGACTGCTTAACCCTTTATCCGGTGTGAGGAGGGGGAGAGGAGGATGTAAAGGGGTAGAAGGAGAGCCACTTTTTACTTTTCCATCCTCTGTTGCCGTTAGGATGGCGTTTTCTATGGAAGACCAACTCTGCAGGTTCCCCCTCGGAAATAACGTAATATATTATGAGTATTGATACAGGCGTTAACACCCATCCGTACACTTAGTTTTTCTTTTTGATTGTTTGTGGTTGGCGGGTGCTCTGGTGTGGTTTGCTTCTTCTTTCCTATCAAAAATATATCGTCCTTATCTCCCCTTTTTCTTTTTTGTGTTTGTTGCTCTCTTGTAACGCTTCTAATCTTCTGGCGCTCAAATGACGCTATTGCAGTTGCGAGCGTCGTTAAAACCTCTACTAAAACTCAAATCATAATATGACCTTATGCAGTTGCGAGCGCTGTAAAACCTCTACTAGACCCTAAAACAAACCTCTAACAGACCCTAAAACAAACCTCTATTAAAACTAAAATCATATGACCTTATGCAGTTGCGAGCGGAGTAAAACCTCTACTAAAACTAAATTAAAAACATAGGATTCCCTGAGGAAGGAAGGAAGGAAGGAAGGGAGCAAGGGTTAACGTTGTCTGGCCTCGTGGGGGGTCAGGGGTCAGTCTCCGACCAAAGATCTCCCCGCCTGTCACGTCATGTGATGTGTTTGACAGCTTGTTGTCAATCGCCACCGATGTCTCCGCCCCATGGCCCCCCGGCCCCCCGGCCAGTGGTCACTGCTCAGACTAGAACTGTAACATTTCGTTTTTAAAATCGGAAGAAATCAGAAGAAACGGATTTCACCCTGTGTGCGTGTGTGAGTGTTGTTGTGACTTTTTCTGTTAACATACCCGCCCCCCGTTAAATGGTCACTGCTCATTCAGACTATAACTATTATCACATTTAGTTTAATTAGCTTTTTTATCAATCTGAAACGGATTTCCCCATGTGTGCGTGTGTGAGTGTTGTTGTGCTTATAGTTTACCGTTAACTTGACACACAACACCACCACCCCCACCCCCCCGTTAAATGGTCAAGGCTCAGTCAGATTATAACTATAACAGTTAGTTTAACTGTCTATGGTCACTGCTCAGACTATAACATTAATCGTTTTTAAAATCTGAAGAAACGAAACGAATTTCACCATGTGTGCGTGTGTGTGTGTTGTTGTTGTGCTTATTTATACCGTTAATAAAGCCCCCCCCCCCTTTCCCCGCCCCGACCGTTAAATGGTCACTGCTCAGTCAGACTATAATTATAACATTTAGTTTAATTAGCTTTTTAAAAATCTGAAACGGATTTCGCCATGTGTGCGCGTGTGAGTGTTGTTGTGCTTATATCGTTAACTTGAACTACAACAGGGAACTGCTGCTTTTTCTTTCCTAATCCTTACTATCGTCATTTACCTCTACTTCTTTTGTATGTTTGTCACACTCTGGTGACCCGCCATTTCCGGGGTGCCTTGATAGTCGAAGCAGACATAGTGCTGTTGAAGCTAGATGGGTGAACAGAGTAAGTCTGATTCCCTGTAAATACTTCTCTGTTGACATCCACCCCTTGGCGCTCATATGACCTTATGCAGTTGCGAGCACCGCAAAACCTCTACTGAAAGTAAAAACTCTCTTCTAAGTTTACTTTTACTTACTTTTTTTTCGGCCTCTACTTTTACCGTGCGGTGTCGAAGGGAGAAGCAAGCGTCCGTCTTTCTTCTGTCTTGCTTGTTGTAGTATGTCCTGTCTGTTGCACTCTTGCCTTGGTCTTGGCTTGTGTTTCTCTACTAACCCCTGCTGTTATTGGTTGTTAAGGTTTTCTTTCTTTCTTTTTTTCTTTCTTTCTTTTTCTTTTTTTCTTTCATTTTTCTTCCTTTCTTTCTTTCTTTTTTCTTTCTTTCTTTTTTCTTTCTTTCTTTTTTCTTTCTTTCTTTCTTTCCTAATTTATTTATGTGATGGTTGGCGGGTGCTCTGGTGTGGTTTGCTCCTTCTTTCCTATCGAACTTCTATCGTCCTTATCTCCCCTTCTTTTTTTTGTGTTTATTGCTCTATTGTAACGCCTCTAATCGTCGGCACTTATATGACCTTTGGCAGTTGCGAGCGCCGTAAAACCTCTTCAAAAACTGAACTAAAATGTATGTATTTCTTTACTTATTTATTTATTAGTTTATTTAGTTATTTATTTATTTTTAAATATCGTTTTTTTTCGTAGAAGTAAAATGGTGCGCTGTAAAAAAACTAGAGGAATTGTCTGAGCAGACGTTTGTCACTGTCATTCTGAGGACACCTGGCGATGGATGCCGGTGGTGAATGTTCAGAACTTTGCTGATTCTGACTGGATACCGGAACAGGAAACTGAACAGACGACTTCCTTCCATACCCCCCGACACCAGAGAAGTTGTAATGTTTTCCCCCCTCGTGGGGGGCACACGAATCACGAATTTGCTCTCTTTACATCAACTGGGACTTGATTCAGAATTCTGCTAGTTGTGCAGAACAAGAGAAGCTATTCAGGACATTTTTTTTTGTTTTGGTGTGTGTGTGGTTTTTTATCTCCAAAAAGGACGTATTTATGGATTACTTTTCAAGAGGAGATCAATCGTTGAGCTGGAGCAGCAAATTGGTACCCCTAACATTAACAAGTTACAGTAAGTGCACGTCGGTGCACATCTCCAAACGTTCGTTGATGAACGCGTGGAAAACCACGGTGTAGTAGATCTAGATCTAGTGTGGAATTATTAGAGAGTAGGCCTAGATCTAGCAGACACTCGACTACACGCCGGCTGGGGCCTACGACCCGCCCCGCTACCCTACCATAGGCCTACCCTACCCTACCCTAGCCTGCCCCATCCCATCATGCTTTGCGGGCTGAGCCGGAAGCTGGCGCAGTCGTTCTCCCGCGCCTCGCGCAGGGAGGGCGAGCGGCGCGAGAAGAGGCAGCAGCGGAAGAGGCTGTCTCGCTCCCTGGAGAGTCTCGACTTGGAGATATCCGGAGAGTTCTCCACCGTCACTGTCTATGAGGAGAAGATCGAGGTTGGTTCGGTTCGGTTGGAACTTTTAGTTAACATATTATACACACACACGCGCGTGCGCACACACACACACACGCACACACACACACACACACACACACACACACACACAGACACACACACATACACACACACATACATACTTACGCACATACATACAACGCACATACAACGCACATACATACATACATACATACATACATACATACATACATACATACATACATACA